TCCATGGTTGTTGACATGTTTAAAATAAAAATGTTTAAATGTAATATATTTTTCTCCTGGTCTTTATTTTAAATGGGTCATAAAAAATGTCAATAATTATTGATATCGCCTGATATGAAACACTCATATCGTGATACAGTTTTCAGTCATATCGCCCAGCCCTACTGAATAGGCAAGACACTGTAAGTCGCAGAGCCTGAGGTTGCGGCTAAAATATGGCGTTTTGTGTCCCTCATGTTCTTACCCCTGTGAGATGTGACTGAGGAATGCTCTGAAGTACAGCTGAACCTAACAGCAGATCAGGCTGCCTCCTATGATAGCGACTCTGTCAATGCATGACGGAACCATCATCGGTGCCCTAGCAGCAACCCCAGAACCCCCCCCCCCCCGAAAAGAGGACATGGGGTCCCTAAACCAGCCTAGGTTTTCTTTGACTTATTTGTTAGTATAGTATATAGATCAATATATTCCTAAAAATACGTTCCCTTAACTACATGTGTACCATATATTTTCAATAATTTTCTATATTTATACTGATAAATGTACATTATATTGCAGAATACGGAAGGAATTGCTGGTTTTTATATATAAAATATATTCTGTTTAATAATACACTTTCTAATGAACAGATGTATATGTGACAAAATATGATGAATGTTGTGTATATAGACACATTTTGTATGTGTGTGACAGTATATAATTATGTATGATTTCTATGTACTACATATATTTAAAAAATTTTTGGGAACATGTATGTGCAATTCATATATACAATTAAAAGGAAGATATATGCATAATGAATCATTTTAATTCACTTCGAAGTGGCGTGTTAATTATGGTCGTTTTTGTTAGTCAGTGCCTGTTATGTTACCTTATTATTATTATTCAATTATTTTAATAATTGACTTATTTTTAATTATAGAACTAACTTTTTGTCTTCGTCAAAGCTTCGATTCCTTGGTTCGAACAACAAATGTTTCTGCTGAAAACGACCAGATATTATCTATTGGTAAAATGTCAACACTGCGTGCTCTGATACCCTCCTTCAGAAATGTATGTCCATATTGGCCACGGTTTCAATGCAAAATACCGTTAAGTATAATCTGTTACACATATTTGAATAGAAAAGCAAACCATTTCGTGATTAAAGAAACCATTTATTCACAATTCGAAGGCTGTTTTGGTCATTACAGATGCTGAAATCAAGTGGAATTCCAATTTCTTATTGAACTGAGAACAAAGAGATTATTGATAGTCATTTCTATGCATATTTGCTTCAGATGAGGGAAGGCGAAGATTTCTAGGCACAGGAGATAATATGCAGGCCTATTTAAACCCGTTATTTACGCACAGTTTATATACATTATGAAACAGTGAAAAAAGTTTGTTTTGTTATAATTAAGTTTCTTTATTACTTTCAAAAACAAGAGCACTTTGGTGATGCAGTGGGTAACACAGTAGCCTTGTAGCTCAGTTCTGGGTCCAAATTCTGATCCCTCTCTGCGACTTTCTTACTGCAGTCCAAGCACATTTACAAGCAAACATGCCTTATTTGCTGTTTGTGCAAGTGCAGGTACATTGGGATGCTTCTCTCGGCTAACCCTCACACGGGGTCAGCTAACGTGCGGTTTCCTTGGAGCCGAAGGGGTTAAGGGCCTTGCTGAAGGGCCCACGGACATGTGACTCTTCTGCAGAGGCTGGGGGTCAAGCTGGTGATCTTCTGATCACAGGCACAGAGCCTCTGGCCACCTCCTCAGAAGCAGTTCCAGTACAAGAAGTCAGAAACGTATTTAACAATGCCAGCTCTAGCCAGGTTCATTGTTAGCTATCGTTAGCAACAGCAGTCGATTACAACGCATTATGCAGTATTTTCCACATACAAACACCATAGCAACATGTCCACAGATAGCGGCTGGACTGTACTGTACATGCAACTGATTTAATGAGACACTACAGCTTTCACCTCTGTTGATGAGAGGTGCAGCCATCTTGAATTCCGAGGTCGGGGCTGCAGAGGTTCCTCCGACTGGGAAAGTTTAGAGTTCAAATGGACTTTAGAGTTCAAATGGAACGCACCATTAGGAAAGCTGCCATCCCATCCAGGGTCTACCCCTGCCTTGTGCCCTGTGCTGCCTGGGAACAGACTTCAGTGCTAGATAAGAGGTTCAAATATGCATGGATGGATGGATTTACATCAAGTACTGCAAATAAACGATGTAAATGATCAGCTTTGCGGCGATGACGTGAAAATTGTTTATTTTTTTATCCAGTTCTGTGGTCACATTCATTAACCATCAATGATCTCACAGTCGTTGGATCCCTGCCAGGACAAACATACATTTACAGCCCGCATGAGCATCCCTGTGTTGATCAAACCGGAAATCTCCCAAAGTGCCCCATTCATAATTGAAGGCTAAGAAATCATTTATAAGGAGGTCAGATTCCCAGCTGACGGTGGAACGGAGAAGTGAGTAAAATAAGCGAGAGTTGGATGTGGGTTTTACTTAGGAGACGCCCTCAACCCAGACTTGAACCCTGCAGTGGAGATGCTTCTAGGTCATGGGGGGGGCTTTCTGGACCATTCTGCCCCTTTTGTCTTTCCGGGACATGCCTGGGAGCTCAGTGTTTCACACTCGGGTTCGCCTGGCTGTGATGGTAATCAGCCCGAGCAGATGTCCTCGACAGCTGCCGCTAATGGCTGCCCCGTGCTGGGCGGACAGGCTGAGGGGGGGCAGCCTGGCGTTCGCGCTGCTCGATGGCTTGGAAGCCAACCTCAATCAGCCGGGGGGGTGGGGGTGAAAGGGCACGACCCCTACCCTGAGGTTTCGGGTCTCTGATGCAGGTGATCCGGCCTTGAGCGCGGTAAATGAGGGGTATGGCTCAGCCCGGTAAATAAACCAAGAGGACGAAATTTCAGGGGGTGTTTAGTCATTTTTTATTTTTTATTTTTTTAAAAGCATTGAAATTACTCCAGGTAATTATGGAATGTTAATGTCGTATGCATCATCGACGTATATATTGAATGCTTATCGATGTATTGGGGAAATTCTCTTTCGGCCGACCCCCATCTTGCTCTCCATGATAGACAGACACGGGAGGGGAGAGCAAGCCTGGCAGAGAAGGGCAGCTGGTGGCAGCAGCATCCATGGAGCTGGGGGGCTTAAGTGGCTTTGCTGAAGCGCCTACAGACATGGCTATTCTGCTGAGGCCAGCCTCAAACTGGCAACCTTTGGATCACGGGCACAGAGCTGTCACACTCTGCCCCCCCAGGTTTACATACTGTAGATACACACATACACACACACACACACACACATATACCAGGGCTCACGCGTTTCGCCCCTAATGTAATCTCACTCCAAACTTTTGATGAAAAACCAATAAATGGATTTGCTATACAGTAATGTGGAAGAAAGCGCAAAATGTAGCGGTGCCGAGTGTAAAACACAGCGGGCTAGAGAGAGCGGCGGAGCGGGGAGCAAGTGGCGCTTCGCGGGCGCTCGGAAGACTGCCGATCTCAGCATCAAAAAGCAATAATGGTATAACACCGCACATTAATAATTTTATTCTGTAGTCTGAACGTATACAAATATTAATAAACAATACCAAACATCCCACAAGCATGTTTTTACGAGTAAATGCAAAAATACAGAATAAGCAGCAAATATGAGCGATCTTTATAACAACTGAATTGGATAACGAGGAAACCGCATGTTGTAAAGCGGTTTATGTTCACGCTTAACTGCTTCCATGTCGGAAGTTATGAGAGCTGCTTATTGTCTAATTGGAAAAAACATTTTAGTAAATAGATATTTTTCATTGTGCATGCAGGCCT